AAATAGCAGTGATTTTGTTTGATTTGGGTCAATTGACCCAGTCAGTCTTTCTAGTGTTAAATGGCTTAATAGAGTGTGGCTATAGGCTACACTTTTAATTGAAACTGACAAAGGCTGTCATCCCCATAAAACTTGTGTTCTTTGCATGTTGTCTTGAAAAATCCAACTAAAACCAGCCTGGATGAAAGGTAGACTTAGATGGTCAAACATACCCAATGCTGGTATTTTCAGCAGACAGTGCTAAACATTTAGACAAGTAGGTAATATTCCGAGACTACATTTTTAAATGACCAAAATATAAATGTGCATAATTTGTTATAGGAACAAGCTACATATTCCACTTTCCCAAAGCTTTTTTTTTTTGTATAGCCCACTTCTGCTAAAACATAAATACTACTTTTGATCACTAAATGATATCAAACCTCACGATAGGATGCTTAGATCCAAATAAGATCCCTTTGAGCACAGCAGAAAATAGGGTTTTTTTTAAACTGCCCTGTGGATTTTTTTCCCACAAAAATATCCACCTTTTTATGCACATATGGTTGTTGTTATTATGGTAAGTAATGTTGGTTTTTGATTCAAAGCTTAACCAAAAGAAGTTTTTTTACTTTTCATAAACTTGGATCTCTGTAGGACTGATGTGTACAGTTTTTTCATGACTTTTAGGGTATTTTTTTGTTTATAGAGCAAGCATACATCAGTGAATTCAGGCAAATCTCCATTGTTTTCATTGGTGTGATTGTGATGAAATTTTATAGGACACACGTGAGATCTGATCTCTGAGTGTATGTGTGTGTGTATGTGTATATATATATCTTTTTTTTTTTTACTCACAGGAAAGGGCATACCAAATGATCTTGCAAGAAATGGGTGTCCAGCTCAAATTCCAGACAGCCTATTGCCTGATGCAGGGACTGCAGCTGACCTTTATCAACAAGAACTGGGGAGTGCACTGACAAGATCTTGTGTGTTTGGAGTTGATCCTTTCCCTTCAGAAGACCAAAAAACAATGGCTGAGAATCAGTTTTGTAGCCACTTTCCAGACTTGGCATTACTGTATGAGAATGTCATAAACAGTAACTATAGGCCTTACCAGAATGCCTTAAAGCACCTCATTGATATCAGTCGATTATATGCATAAATATCACTAAGACAGGGTTAGGAAACAAAAGGTATTTATTTGAAAAATGCACTTGAATCTTTCCTTTAAGTGTCGAGTTCTTAAATTCAAATTAAATGAATTCCAAACTGGAACTTTGTTCTTTAACTTTTTACTGAAATTTTGAGTAGCAAAGACATTATTTCCACAACATTTGTGTGTGACTACAGTCAATAAAATAAAAATATTCAATATAATTTAACAGAATTCAGAAAAGAATGTCTCACAAAACAAATTCAGTGAATAACTTTGAATGAACATTGTAGTGTTACTTTCAAACACTTTAGTCTTTTTTTAACTACTTTGCATCACCAAAGGCCCACTGTTGATTCACTCATCTAATCTCAGAAACCCATACCCTCATGTGAGACCCATAGGCCCTTACGAAGATTATCCCTATCCCCCTTCCACAGAGCATGCAGATCCTTATTCAGAATGGAAATTTTTCAGTACTCCCAAACTACTAGACAACCCAGCAACTTTGTAGAAGTCAGGACTTGCTGAAGCGCATTTTGGACACAGAGGCGATGCTTGTTTCCACTGCTCCAAGCAGATTTCACATGCTAGAATGCTGCGGCAGCATGAAGAAAACATAGGATTTTCCATGACATCTACAAGGAAAATAGAAAAAATAACATATGTAAAGTTTAATATATAACGTAATACATATAAGTGAAAACATCCCTACTTAGGGGAGTAGTAGCCTATTGGAAAATAAAGTTGCCCATTAACCAAACCCCGCATACTGCAATTGTGTCCTTCAGCAAGACACTTAACCCTCAGTGGCTCCAGGGGGACTGTCACTGTAACTAGTTACTAAGTTGCTCAGGATAATGACGTCAGCTAAATAATGTACTGTACCTAAATGACACATAAAACTCAAATTACCAAACATATGTGGACTCTCTGTTGCTTGCTACCTAAGTACCTTTACAAATTGAGCACAAGAATGTTTCCTTCATTTGAGCAATGAAAGGTAGTGGGGAAGCATGGTCTATCAGATCTCGCAGTGTCTTTGTCAATTCTGGAAGTTGTTGCGATGCCAGAAGGAGCTCTTCAATCTTTCCTAGCACTTCTTCAAGACCTCCTGAAGCACCCTGCAGGTTCATGCTATTTAAAATGCATGACAGAATTTAGCTCGTTAAGTTTGCCAATGTACAATGTTGAATTCAATTAGTGCATTAATGAAATGGTGACTTGCTATAATGCAGTTTTATTCTAGACACACATTTGCTATTTGCCAGACAGCCGATTATACAAAAAGATTACGTTGGCAATTATGATTTGTTGAAGTGGTGATGCAGGGTTGACTGCTGTTATTGGGAAAACACACCTTGTTCTTTTTCTTTTTGGTGTCATAGCCCGAAAATCAGCTTGCAGGACTCCCATTACCTTTCTGGAATTCTGTTTCCAGTATAAAGACCCTGTGTTAAAATACATTAGACATATATTAATTTTACTGTTCAATCTGTCTCTTTATCCCCATTTTTTGAGAGTGGTACTAAGAGGAAAGAGTTCTGAGACATTGAGATATTTTTGCACAGTATTGATGAACTTGTTTGAAGTTGCAGTCAACACATTTGTCAGCTAATACCTCTGATGCAGTTATTCAAAATCTTAATGTGCTACTTTTACATGTTTTTTTTCTGTATCTTTTTTTTTTTTTTGGGAGTCGAGAATTTCATTTCCATTGTTGTCTGTTAATACAACTGGTTCAGTTGTCCCAAGGGCCTCTTTGACTTTGTCAGCTATTTGAGAGACTGTGGCTTCACTCTCAGTAAATCGCACTACTACAACTCGAGTGGGCACCAATGTCCCAGTCCTAACCTCCCCAATGTGAATTGACCTGCAACAGGTAAACAGAAAACACAGAAAATAGTAAGAATGTAGAGCTTCTTACAAGAAGATTGAAGATGAATGAATTTCTATGCTTGAATTATTTGGATACATGAAACACATAATAAACACATTACATCAGAAACGTGCCCCACCTTTGGAAATATTTCAAATGTACAGGTGGTTGCAGAGGTGCCAACCCTCCAGGAGATCCAGCAGAAGCTGACGGAGATGAGCGGATAAAAGAAAAACGGGACTGGGCACTGGCAAAAGCATGGGGGGTGGCTTCAATGTCCTGGCCATGAACTTCATAGTGGCCATGGTTAGCCAAATCAATTGAGCTGAAAAACCCATTGCTTCCCGGAAATATGGCAGTGTTTCTGTCATCTGTCAAGTAGACACTTGAATTGTTCACCTAGACAAGAAACATTTATACAAAATGTCATATGAAAAAACAAGGGTTAGCTAAACAAAGTAGTAAGACAACCTTATTAGATATTGGTCAAGATATGAAAAGTAATTTCAGCAGAGTGACCAAACATTTAGGTAGCCAGAGAATTTTTTGAGTATTTTAGGATAAAAAGCTATGAAATGTGGCTAGATGTTTTTATGGTGGTGTAGATTCAGGCTGTGAAGTCAGTTCAGTTGGTCAAAACAACACATTTGTACCATCGCTAGTAAATTACCCAACGACTTACTGGAAAAGATTATATACTAAATATAATGTAGAGTAGGCCTATATGTTGTAAAATATTAGGCAAGCAATCTAATGATCGAATGTGTACAAGTAAGCTGAGGGCAGAATATATGAAGAACAAAGCTAGATATATACCCTTGATATAGCTTTATTAGGTCTTCATTACTTAATTTTGTCAAAACCTTTATTAAAATTATAGTTTCTGTCCTTCCACAGTATGACAACTGTAGCTCACACTGGTCATTCCTATCATATTTGTTATCGCTGGCTAACGGTAATTGTAGAACCAAAGATATTAAATAAACGAATGTATCGCTGACATTACCTGAAATATTCTTGAAATCTTGTCGACTGTCATGTCTTCATCCTTGAATGTCACTCTTTTGCTTCCTCTAAATAAAACATAGGAGTCCATGCTTTCTCGTAAGCTTGCTAGCTAGCACAAAACTTCTTAAAATTACGACAACCCAACGGTACAATAATCTCTGTACAATTAACTTGGCGCCACCATCTGGATTTAGCTAATCCTATAGCATCCGGGTCAGATTAAAAGGAATAAACGCATTATACAATTTTCGGGTATATAAACAGTTTTCAACTTTCCATTTAATAACATTAAAACGAAATACGGAAAATGAGTTTGTTTTTTTCTTTTTGCATTTGCCCTATTCTGTCACGATCGATAAACCGAAAACGACCGGTAATCCGACTCCCATCAACTTATTTCACATTGAATATCGAATGGACGCTGCATACACGGACCCAGAATAATCAGGGTATCATTCGTTCATCCGTTTTTAATATGAAACCAAAACAAGAAAAATGGAAAACCACTCGTATTTATCAGTTTTTGTTTCCAAAACCAAAACGACAAAACGGATAATGGCTCGTTTTCCGATTTCCCATTTTGTTCTCAAAACAAAAAAGGAACAAACGGATAACGAGCGCTCATGTCCGATTTTTTTTTTTTTCATTTAATACAAACGCCGTGACCCGGAAATGACTGTACTGATAGTAAAACAAGCCCGAACAACGGTACTGCACCGCGGTTAAGTTAGCCTCATATTCGGTATTCAGTTTTCTAGCTTTAATGACTTTTCATGGAAGTAAGATGGGGCGTTTTTAATGACAGAATCGTGTTGTCAAGTACACAGACAACGATGCAGAGGGGTGCATTAGACAATAAT